TAAGGGATGCCCTTGACCCCTTACAGAGAAAAAGAACAGAATAATACTGAGCATACTCTGGACTGTGTATTGTGTTTAGTATCAACAAGTACTAGTTGGGCATACTTAAAGGGGACACTACATATACTCAGACCATTTCATCTCATTGAAGTGGTCTGGGTGCAGTGTCCCTGTTCCACTTAGTCAGGCAATGTATTTAATTGATTACCTTGCAGGACTATGACTGCCTCTAGTGGCTGTCAATCAGACAGCCACTAGGTGCAGTTACTGGATTCTAATGGAAAAACTACTGGTTGACTAAATGATGCTGGGTGTCCTCACTCTTTGTATGAGGATATCTGGCATCAGTGAAATGAAAGCATTGAGGCAATGTTAAGTGCAGGCAGATGTAGCTACACAGCTCTGCTGCATTACATTGAGGTAATACATTTCAGGTTTTTTCCCATTATGACTTAATTAAAGAGAATCATACCTTCCAACATTTCACATGGGCATAGTGAACACTTTAATGTTAGCAGTGTGAGTGGGCATGTGGCCAGGGTGGGACTTATCTGAGCAATTTTAGTTGACTTACTAAAAACAATTGATGCAAATAAAATTTATTTAGAACAAGAACAATGTATCTTATTATTATTATTGCCATTTATATAGCGCCAACAGATTATGTAGCACTTTACAATATTATGAGAGGGGGGATTTAACTATAAATAGGACAATTACAAGAAAATATACAGGTACGATAGGTTAAAGAGGACCCTGCTCAAGCGTGCTTACAGTATATAGGAGGTGGGGCATAATCACATTAGGACAGGAAATAGCAATCAAATAAGGTGGAACCAAATCCCAAAACTTTTGTGACTTTTGGGTCAGTAGTGGTGTAAGTATTGGAGTTCTGGCATGGAAACCTGCTGCATGTAGTATGCGCCTTACTGTGCTCACTGAAATCTTAGTGCCTGTTGTCACCAAGTCTTGCTGCACGTATTTGCAGTCACTCATAAGTTTTTCACAACCTGCTTTCTCATGAATCTGGTTGCATCCATTGATAGCTTATTTTTTTCTGCCCTGTCCAGGCAGTGTAACCACTGTTCCTTCAACTTTGAACTTAAGAACTATGCTTGCAATATTGTCTCTAGGAACATTCAGTGCTTTCGCTATCTTTTCGTATTCTGTTCCTTGTTTGTGAAGGGGCGATGATCATTTCTCTTAAATTTGTGGACCATTCTGGTGACTTAGCCATATTTTTAACATGCAGTCAAATGTGACACTCAACAAATCCCTAGCCAGCTCAGGTATTTCAAATGTTCAAGCTCATGCACACCTGGTGCAACTAATGAAACCCTTAATTAGTGGCTCCTCTTAGGGTCTTGTACCAAGTGTGTGCTGCCAGAAAAAAATAACAACAAAATGTATAAAGAACATATACGTCTACACGAAGAGTGAAGGTTCATGAAAGGCTATTAGCCTTCCCCCAACATAGGGAGAGAAAAAAAGAATAAAAAGATAAATAAATTCATAATAACCCCCAGACCCAAAGACTCTAAAGAAAAACACCAAACAGCAAGAGGACCATTCATAGTATACATTAGGTAGGCCCCCAATGATGCAGACCACCCTGCCCTCCCCCCTCAAACCAGTCATTGCTCCCCCCACCAGGAGCTCCTCAGAACAATGGGAGCTTGAAGGACACGCTAGTCCATAGAGCCTTCTGCACCTTCACCATGTCGTTGATGTGCCGGTAGAGCAGGATGGATGCCTCCATTTGTCTCACCCATCACTGGCTATCCGAGATAGGGCATGAACAGCCCTACAGCTAACAGCCTGCCCCACACACAGACAAGTGTGGCAGGGCTCACAGCGGCAGGGACCAACCTCAAAACCTAGAGTTAGAGGCTCCACACATGCAGAAAGCATGCATATTGAATGGCGTGGCAGCAAACCAGTGGTCCCCAGGGGCATAAAGAAGACCTAGTTCTCTGACTAGGTAAGTAGAGATCCCCGGTCACTTATCTCTAGGAATACCGCAAAGTAGCAAAAGTAGGTAGTTGAAGGTCTTGTGTGAAAGAAAGGTACCATTATGGCCATATCCATAAACTGAAACAAGGAAATTAACCAGGAAGCTGGGATAACCTCCACCGACCGAGGGGGGAAGTGGGCCATAACAGGAACCATAAGGTATATATCATATAGGGAAGCGGTATCATTCCATTGGGGTAGAGCACCCAAATCAGGCAGCAAGTGATCAGTCCATTCTCCAAGGCTGTGATGAGTCAGGTTCAAGGTAGGGCATAGGCCTGAAATCTTAGCATCTTTTCACTTGTGAGACCATCAGCTACAATCATATATCTCATGAAAGCTGGTGAGTTCCTCTTATCGAATCTGAAGAGGAAGCATGGTATATAATCGATTAGTTAGTGATATTATGGTAGATTTTATGGGCTCAGGACCAGAGCTGTGAAAGGTGGACATCAATCAGCTCGACATAGAATTGGCTGAGACTGTCAAGGAGGCAGATCAAGGGCACAGCCAGCACAAGTCAAACACAGCCCTGACCAATTAGTATCTCCTCATAGAGATGAATTTAATCCATGCATCTCTATGAGGAAAGTTCAGTGTCTGTATGCAGAGGGTGGAAACACTGAATGGCAGTGCTGCTTACTCTGCAGCACTGCCCAAAGAAGCAGCTTTAGCAGCCATCTAAGGAGTGGCCAGTGGAGTTATGACAAGGCTGTAATGTAAACACTGCATTTTCTTTAAAAAGACAGTGTTTACAGCAAAAATCCTAGAGGGAATGATTCTACTCACCAGAACAAATGCAATAAGCTGTAGTTGTTCTGGTGACTATAGAGCCCCTTTAAGAGATCAGGGGAAACACATTGTACAAAGTCAAATTTATGCTTGTTTACATTCAGCAGGCACAAGAATATGACACCTTTCAAAGACTGATCCAAAGCTCATCATTTTCCAAGCCTTCTACAACAGTGCATTGATAACCCTACATCATTAAAGAGTCTTGGATGAAAAGTGATATACAGTAAAGTGCCTGTTCCCTATCTCTAAATATTAATCATAGTAACAATTCCCTCTCAGAGTGAGATAAGAAAAAGCAATAAAAGAAGAGAGAGAAAAAAATAATTGTCCCCTCTGCGCATGCTTACTTCACCCCTCAGCCTCATCCACTCCCCCGCCCCATCGTTCTTGCCTCATTTATCGTACTCTTCGCACATATGTCACACTTTATTAAAAGTTTTCATAGTATTTCTAACCTGAGCGTTGAGTTTGTCCATTAAATAATTGTATATTCTTCAGTATTATTTCTTTCTTATCTATTTCTATGTTCCTCACTGTTGACATGTCTACTTTATTTTTTTTCTGTCATAGTTTTTTTGTTTTGTTTTTTACTGTAGGTTTATAGAGGTTAGATCACAAAATTTTAATTTGTAACTTACTTTTGATATTTACATATGTATTGCCACACCAGTGTTTCTCGTGAAAAAAGAATTTAAAAAATAAAAAGGAAAAAGTGAGAATGCAGTTTGGGATTACTTATATGACACAAGCTTTTCAGTCTACTTGGAGCTGGTCAAACATACTCAACATAGTAAAATGTTTAATATTATTTATTTAATATTGTGCACTTATATAACTATTGTTATTATTTTACATTGAACGCATTCATTGTCATTATGGTATGCGTGAAAGAAACCTTCGAAAATCAAAGGTAATAAGGAGGAAGTGCCTCTAGTGGTTGTCAGTGTAATTGCCACTAAAGGCATGTTCTTGGCCAAACGTAAACATTGCAGTTGCTCTGAAATTGCCAGAGAAAGAGACTACATTTGTACACCAAAACCACTATGTTTAGATGTAGTGGTTTTGGGTGCTTAGAGGATCTTTTTATTGACTCCCTTTGCATATAGGTGTGCTTCTGTACATGCAGGGGTTAACAGGCACACATACAGTTGCCTCATAGAAATCTAAAGGAGGACAATATCAGGCTGTCATTTACCTATACATAGATATTTCACTGGCCTGCAGCTGTCACTACGGTGGAATTTCTGTATCGTACATTTTTACATGTAATGTGTGCTCTGCAGAGAACATGTCCATGCACTTCATATTTTTATCCACATTAAGTGGAGACATTAGAATACTGATCCTGTAACAAAACACAGAGTAAAAGTTTATTTCAGATAGCTTATGCTGCAAGAACACACATATTACAAGAAGACATTAACCATTTAGTCATGTCAAATAGTTAAGAGGTGAGAATGTAATATCATAATTCCTTATAATAACTATGCTAGCACTTAATAAGTACAAATGATTTCTAGGTTGATTTTCCAGTCCAGCAGGAGAGGGCAGATATGTTGAACAGTTTTCCCAAGGCATGAACAAGTTTCTCAGTTATCCTAATGTTAACTGAGGGAACATACTGATGAGGAAGTGGCTTGGAGGATTACCATTGCTTGGCGATGAGGTGAAGAACTTTTTTTACTCTCCTTCTCTAAATAAGGAAACTGCCTGCTAGACATATGACCATTCATCCAATTTGGACTTTGAAGGGCGGCTTCACATATTATTTCAGAGTGTTACCCGAGGAAACTTTGTTACACATGTATCTGGTGTAGCAGAATCAACTAGCTCACAGCAAGTTTGGTATAGCAGGTTAGTGTCACACTTAGTACTATATTGCTTATTCAACTTTGGTATGCTGTTGATGTCAGAATGACGTTGTGGAGAGGGACAGCCTCTATACTATAAAGATACATCAAGAAAATATATCTAGGCTGCCCAGTTGAAAGCCGGAGTTACAAAACATGGTCTCCAACACTTTGAAGTTTGCTGTTCTCAATTTTTTCCCCACTCAACAGCTTTCAGGCTTTGGTTTCATGTCAGCAATCTTTATCTGCCTTCCAAAAATAAGCCTCTGCCGCCATGCTCAAGACAGAAAAACAAGAAGGGCGGTATTTTTAGGGCCATTAATTCTGACCACGTGTCCAGAAGGTGAACCGGATGGTAGTTGCACAAAGGCTACTCATCACTATGTCCTACGGAGCCAGAAATCACTGGACGTTGACTGCTCTTGTTGTCCTTGGTTTTCTGACTGAGATTGTTTCATCATATCCTCTTCCATACAGAGTTAATGGAACTTTATTAGAAAGAAAATGGGATTCTATTTTAACCAGATCTATTGGGATGCCTTCGGACAAATCAGATGTAAAGTGGAGGCGCGACTATTTGATTGGAATCAAAAGACAGAGAAGACTTTACTGTAATATTGGCATCGGGTTTCACCTTCAGGTCCTCCCAGATGGAACGATCAGTGGTATACATAATGAAAACCAATACAGTGAGTTACAACCTAAACTACAATACAATTTGGAATTTAAAATAAAACTCTTTTCTTCGGTCACTTTTAATTAGGACTTGCCACTGTCTCAAAATTTGATATATTAAGGCAAAGTTTCAGCTCATTTTTTTTTTTAACATGCAAAATACAAACAAACTTAAAAACTAAATTTAATAGAAAAGCTTAAAAAAGCTTAAAATCAAGATAGTTGAATGTCATATTTATTATTATTGCTAGAATTATTATTATTGTTATTACAGGTATTATTAAAATTATGGACACAAACTCTTAGTTGATTTAGTAAGAGTCACTAATTATCATATTGTGTGCAGCTTTCAGGAACCAATATAATAGTTTATTTGTCTATCTATCGATCTATCTATTTGATATACATCTATCTATGTCCTCACATTATATAATGCAATACTATTGCAGTGTGCAATTATATCTTATTTTATTGGAGTAACATTATATTTAAAAAACAAACTTTTGAAAGTTTCTCTCTTCTTCAGGTATGAGGAAGGGGCAGTGTGTATAGTATACACAGAAATAAATGGAATTTATTTTTCAAATAATCAACTACAGCTTTGACTCAGAACAGCACTAATATTGATTTGCAATCAGCAGACATAAATTACTGTTGCTCTATATAAACACATCTATTGTTAGCCTCTGAAATAGTAGAACAGTTTGTTTTTGCAGTTGTTGACCAAATTGTAAGGGGATACCGGCTATACGTATGGGTGGATTTATGTTAGGATATCCAGAATTTTAATACTAATAAGTATATGTTTTGTTTGCTTAGGTCTGTTACAAATTTCAACCGTAGAACGAGGGGTAATTAGCTTATTTGGTGTGAAAAGTCACCTGTTTGTAGCAATGAACAGCAAAGGAAAAATATATGCTTCGGTGAGTATTGTGCACTTTTAACATTTATTGATCTGTAGATGCATATTATATTTTGACCCTGATTTCTGAGTGTTTGTATATTGCATTAAAAATATTATTCACAGCAATTTAAATTGATAAATTAAATTATTATCAATTATTAACATGAAGGGAAAACCTCTTGATCAATAAATATATAATATATCATTATTTAAAGTAAAACAAAACAGAAACTCAATGCCTGCTTATACTATCTTAAGTTAAAATATTTCTTGGTGCCTGCACATTTTGTTTTATTGTTGAGGAAATTAAAAATCATATCTTTATGTTTAACATGTTTAATTTTTTTAACTATCATATAACTAATCAAAATTATCTTTTTCTGTAGCACTGTTCTCTCAAACGGAATCAAAGTGCTTTAGTTCATGCTCTCAGGTTTTAATCAAATTGGAAGATGAATGATAGATGTTACTTATACCCATCTCTTTGTTACTCATTTTGTGGATTAAAGACTGATTTAGATTTAATGGCTGTAAATCCTGCAATCGTGAGGTTATAACACATACTACAGTTAGTGCGTTAACTATGTGACTTAAAGGAACAGTCTGTAGTCCAATAAATGTTTAATTGGATTCATGAATCATAATGTTGTTTGTTATTTTGGATTATATTCATTATGTCGATAATTGTATGTCATTCCTAAGTGACCTTCCCAGTCCCCTGTGCTGTTATCTTTTTAGTAAAGAAAATGTTATGATGTCTAATGAACATGAGAAGATATCTGTCCTGAATTGCCCCCTTGACTTTTGTCTGTCACAGTAAATGAGGGCAACAGTATGTGACACCTTGCCATGACATCCTCAGCTATTGTAATCAATCATGGCCTACATGGCACCATAGCCTGTTAGTCTAGTGGTTAGAAACATTTTTGGACTGGAACCCAAATTGTTTATATGGTATTAGGTTGGCTACCCATTCTTCATTTTTAAAATGAGTTAAGAGCCTATTCTTCAACAGTCATACAATATTAAAAATTAATTCTTCAAAGAATGTTTCTTAGACTCTTTCCAGTATGATGTCTCCAGTGCAGTGGGGAAGGCAGTGCTGCCACAGTAAACATTTTACCATGGCCTTTGTTTCAACCATTGGGGTGCCACTGTAATAGAATGGGGATCTAACTTTGAGGCCTGACCTAGGGGCTTAGAACCATAGCTTTAGTGATACATTATGTAATGCCCTGGAGAAACCAGAATTTAACAAAGCTTGTTGTCACCACCATTCCCCCCCTTTTTTTTTTTGTACTCTAGATATTTTTTTCTATATTTTTTATTTCTTCTTACCAATATTTTTCTTTTACATTTTATTCAATTTTGCTCTCTCTATATCCTTCACTTTTGCCTGACTCCTCACTAACATTAACTTTTCTTAGCTTTTAGAATTCCCTAGAATATTACTGCTTTTCTGCTTGAATAGTACTCCACTCTCCATTTTTTTTCTCAACAACCTTTGTTTTTATCATTCCTGTCTGAAACAGCTAAAGAACTATAGCTGAGACTACAGATCTATATTAATAGACATTTGTAAAATGTAAATATTCCTGTTTCAATTTTAAAGAGAAACCTATCTAAGAGGACCTTTGTATCTAGAGAGGCACCTAATCATTTTTAAAAAAAATAAAATTAAAAATATTATGACATTTGGGGGGAAAGCGACAAAATATACAAGTAACCATGAAGAGTTTGATGTTTCAACATGGTATTCACTAGTTAGTATATATTCTGAATATGCCAAAATGAAATTCTTTAAGTTACCAAATTTTTGAAATGTTGTAGTATTGGCTTTCTCTTTTGTAATACTATCAATAATAAAAAGTGCATATTTAGGATTAGAGGGTTATAATAAAGAAATAATACAGATTTACAATATTTTATAACAAAAAATGCATGGCAAAATTCAAAGTCTGGAGCCTGTTTAAGAAGTTTATTCACTAAATATTCAATGTGATTAGATGAAAACATCCAAAAGCTCCAAAATATAGACTAACACAGCCTAGCTAGAAACGTTTCATTATTTTGGCCCAAAATCTGCATTTTAATTGTTAATGCAACATATTCTGTGAATGAATCCCTCCAGGGTCAGATTTCCCATTAGGCAGAGTAGGCACCTGCCTAATAAGCACTTGTGCTATAGAAGGCGCCTGTTTTCGGCACCTATAATTTACCTATTTGGAGTTAAGTGGGTTGATGGGGAGAGATAAGCCTTGGCCAGTGTCCTGTGTAGACGAGTCAGCCTCCTATGCTGCAGAAACAGTTATAGAGAGTGTAAAACTCATTACTCTTAAAATGCTCACACAGGAAATACCTTGCAGGTATTTCTAATACTACTTAATAACAATACTTTATAACAGCTCATGCAGCTCTGCAATAAATAATACGAAGGTGACGAGACTACAGAAGATAAGAATATGTTGCAGATCACCTTTCAAGGTTTACATGTCCTGAACACCCTCTTTCCCTAACCCTAAATTTAACCCCCACCAAACTAAACAAACATTTTACTAAGTCCCGAATTTAAGCACTCAAACCTTAAAGGATCACTATAGTGTCAGGAAAACAAACTCGTTTTTCTGACACTATATAACCCTTAGGTCCCCCCCACCCTCAGTGCCCCCCTCACACTTGGCTGAAGGGGCTAAAACCCCTTCTGCTACTTACTTTAATGCAGGGCTGGGCTCCCTCGGCGCTGATGACCACTCCTCCCCCGCCGACGTCAGCAACCGAGTGGAGCGGAATGCACATGCGCGGCAATAATCCTAAACACCCCATATACCACAACTATTACCCCTCTTAACATCCTTTGTAATCTAACTCTGATGTTAACAGGCCTCTCTGTCCTGCTTTTGGTGGGACAGTCCCTTTTTTGGGGTCCTGTCTCACTGTCCTGCTTTTGTTTCCTGGTGTCCCGCAAGGCGTAATAAGGTGGGAATGGAGGGGGAGGAGTTGTCACCAGGCTCCTGTGTGATGGGGATCCCTGCTGGCATCATAGACAGACTGTGTAGTGATAGGGAGGCTAAACATATGGGCAGGCTGATGGACCTCCAGCTCAGCAGCCCACTGTTCTAGCTCTCCTTTATAAACTAGTCCAAAGCACCGCTGGGAAAGAGTGATATTACATTATGTCACTTCCTCTGAGTGCTCTGTGAATGCTGCATGGGAAGGAGAACCCCCATTAACACATATATCTCCATTTGAACATGAGAAAAGACGTCCTCCAGCAGAGGAGTTGTTACTACTACAAAAAGGGTGGCATGCGCTTAAATATTGTTTCTGGGCGTGTGGGTGTCTGCATGAATCTGTAAGTGTATTTGTGGGAATCTGTGAGTAAATCTGTATATGTGTGAATCTGCATTGGTGAATATGTGAATGTATGTTAATCTGCATATGTCTGAATCTGTGAGTCTGAATCTGTGAGGATGTGTTAATGTGTGTGTGTGTGTGTATGTATCCGCATGTCTGTGAATTTGTGACGATATGTGAATCTGTGAGTCTGAATCTGTGAATGTGTATGAATCTGTGAGTCTGAATCTGTGAGTGTGTGTGTGAATCTGCAAGTGTGTGTGAATCTGTCTCCGTGACTCTGTGAGTGTGTGTCAATCTGTGAGTGTTAATGGACACTCTATCAGATGGCCACTATGGAGGAGACATGTATGTCACTAGTAATAATGTGAATTTTAACTGAATTTCAAATTTAAGGCCAAAGTAGACAAACTGGAAGCATAGCTGACTTGAGATTCAGTTTTAATTCCTGACACTAGTGAATAAAACTTGAATTGTGATGAACTTGCAAGTGTGTGTGAATCTGTCTCCGTGACTCTGTGAGTGTGTGTCATTCAATCTGTGAGTGTTAATGGTCACTCTATTGAGATGGCCACTATGGAGGAGACATGTATGTCACCAGTAATAATGTGAATTTTAACTGAATTTCAAATTTAAGGCCAAAGTAGACAAACTGGAAGCATAGCTGACTTGAGATTCAGTTTTAATTCCTGACACTAGTGAATAAAACTTGAATTGTGATGAACTTGCAAAAGAATTGCAAACTGTAGGTCAAAAAGGCAAATTTGTGAAAAATTCTTCAATTCAACTCTTTTTCCAAGTCTGCTACTTTGACCTAGATTTTGCAATGTCCATTCCAAAGGTGAGACTTTAGTAAATAGACCCTTTAGTATACTGGCCTAAACATATAGAGCAGATATTGTAGTATTAAAATGAATGAGCTGTAGACACATTTATAATTATATTATTTAACAAAATCTAGGAACCTGCAATCTGTCAGGAGCTTGAAACGGGTTTTGCAGGAGGGGGCACAAATAAAAGACTTGCCTCTGGGCACCTCATGACATTGCTACATCTCTGGTATCCCGCAACTGGGGACACAGAGGGACTTCCAACAAACAGCACAGCATGAGCACATTATTAGATGCATAGAGAACTTTAGCAGCGTTCTTTTCATGGTCCTGTAAGTCAGGGGCCAGTCAGGAGGTTGTCTAGCGTGCTGATGCCAGCTGACTCGCACCTTCAGTAGGAGGGCCCATTTCTTGTCAGTCCTGCGCATTATGGGCATTGCCAGTGATGCAATTAGTGTTACTGGTGATGCCTCCCCAAAGTACCACTCACCCATCCCAAAACTAGTCACTAGTCAGTAATCACATTTAACATTATATTTAACCCCCGCATGCATTTCCACATATTCAATTATACATACTCAGATGTCAAATACGAATATAGGGTTTTTGACCTTTTCATGCCTGTAATGTCCACCTAAAGGGACACTGTAGGCACCAGACCACTTTAGCTCATTGAAGTGGTCTGTGTGCCAACTCCCATCACCCTTAACCCTGCAAGTGTAATTATTGCAGTTTTTATAAACTGCAATAATTACCTGGCAGGGTTAAGTCCTACTCTAGTGACTGTCTACCAGACAGCCACTAGAGAGACTTATGGGTTCTTAGATGACTTTTGGTCATCTAAACAATGCTGAACATCTTCACGCTATGCATGAGGACCTCCAGCGTTGTCGGAATCCTCATAGGAAATCAATGAATAATGCTTTCCTATGGGGAGGTCTAATGCGCACGCACAGTCATTGCCGTGCATGCACATTATGTCTCCTCCGGCGACGTGGTGGAGCCTGACCCAGCACCGAGGGACATCGGCGCTGGATTCAGGTAAGTGACTGAAGGGATTTTAACCCCTTCAGAGATGTGGGATGGGGGCGGGAGGGAGGGGGGCACTCCAGGATTCTACAGTGCCAGGAAAACGGGTTTGTTTTCCAGGCACTATAGAAGCCCTTTAATAAATGCATTAAACTAACAACATCTTCTTTTTTTTTGGTGGGGGTCGAACAGGGAGCACATGTGAATTCTGTGCTTGCAGGCACCTGACATGTAAATCCAGCCCCAAATCCCAAGTCGACGATAACAAAAATATTCTCTCTTTTTTTTTTAATGGTTTGTTGCATTTAAAAAATTCGAGATCCAAGTTTTAGTTACAATATTTTGTATGCCATTTTCATTAGTTTTTTCTTAGTCAAAAAATACAAAAGAGATCTGCCCCGAAAATACATGCAAGTGCATTTTAATGAAAGAGCATCAACATTCTAATATATCACAATGCCTGACCTTATTTTTTCTTTCTGATATACAATATTAAATGTAAATTGTGAGTGTTCTTGAATTTGTCTCCAATTACAAATGCTCCATTTGTTGTCAAATATAAATTGCACTATAAATATATTATAGACAAATAAACCAGCAACTTACTAATGTATATCAGCAAGTAGGGAATACAAGTTAAACAGGTGGTATGTGACCCGTACAACTTTGGAGCTGAGGAACGAGATTTATTGTTAGATACAGACATTCAGGCACCGTCTGTCATAACATGCTCTTATCCTTTACAAATAATGAGTTTGTGAGCCTATCAAATCATCTCATACTGTACTTTTCTTTTAAGATTACCCAGCACTGGAGCATAGAGTGCCCAATGTCATGACATATGTAGTTGGCACTATAAGCCATGCCTTACCTCATACAGAGATACACAGATATTATTTCTGAATGTTTTAGCCATTAGTGTTAAGGATTAAACATATTCGGATGACTGCCCGGCGTACGTTAAGGTTTTACAGCTATAATATAACCACTTCATATCATATGAAAATCCACTGTAATGCCTCACAGTAACATAATGCGTGCTGGGTACAGATTTAGCTTTAAGGTCACCATGCGCTAATTCATCAGGGACAGCCAGGAGGTAGTCTTCCAATTGCTCAACTATATCTCCCATCACTTCAGCCAGCATTTCACCGGACACATACGACAAAAGATCATGGGAATTCTACTGATGGGTTCACAAATGTCAGAATTTTCTTGCAAAACAATGCAGTTTTTAGCACTTCAACTGAAATTATATTATTTAAGGTCTTTCACATGAGTCCTACAAATTAAAGGAATGACAATGTATACATTAAGGTAAAGCAGGTAAGTAAAACACATGTATGTATTATAGATATAGTTATATTGTTAGAGGATAAATATGTGAGATATTCATTGAGGACTAAAATTATAATCATATATGCCAAATGGTAAGATGCTTTTTAAATGTGATAAACGTTATCTATTATGTAGAGTCTAAGGATCGCCTTTTATTCCAAGTTTATTCCAAATTTTAATACTTTCTCCTAATCATTAGTAACTTTTGTTTTGCATGTAAACTTAAAGAGTTCCATATAGTCATAGAGATTGCTGATCAAAGCAAGAGCACTACAGGGCTTACTTGCAGGCTGCAATTACTTCCTATGATTCAAGCACATGTAATATTTTTTAAACCTAATGTTTAAAAACTTTAGGTTTAGACTACTATAATTCTATGTATTGTCATTCTTTGTGTAGCAACAGGCATTGTAATAGAATCCCTGATTTCACATTCTGCAAAACACTCACATTGTAAATACGACCAGTTTGAAAGAAATGCCAAACATCAGTTTAAACACTATTGACGCAGACATATTTAAGCAATAAAATTGACATTGTAATAATACATTTCTTATCAATAATTAATTAACTATACTTCTCTTTCAGCCTACGTTTCAAGATGAATGCAAATTTAAGGAAATCATGCTATCGAATAATTACAATGCATACGAATCCAAAATGTATGAAGGTGCCTATCTTGGATTAAGCAAACATGGAAAAATAAAACGAGGAACTAAAATCTCGCCTGCCATGACAGTGACGCATTTTCTCCCGAGATTATGAAAAACAAATAACACTTACTGCAAAATGTGTATTTAAATTTGCACATGTGAATAATCTCCCAGGTAAAATATTTATACAGTGTCAGAATATATGTATATTTGGATGGAAATATTTATATTGTATCCACTATACCCTACACTCATTGGTAATATTGCTTACTGTGCTACATAGATGCATAAGAAATGTGTGCTATATTTAGCACAGTGACGTTAATTTATCCCTGACGGATAGAGAAAACATATTAAGGGCTTTGTTTTCCAAAGGACTTCTATGATTCTTTTTTTTTCTATGGGAAAATTTCAACATTAAGTCCTTTAAGTTGATATAAGTGTTTAAGTACTTCCTATACCTCAAAATATAGCTTTCTGTTTTATTTCTAAACAGTATGTGCACGTATATTTACTTAGTAGGAATATCAAATGTGTTATGGATGGTTTCATACAAAGAAAAGATGCCAAAATCTGTGTGACATTAACAGATTCACTAAGGGATTTATACATATATTTACAAATAGTTTATTGGCTCACAAGCAAGTTGACACTTGGAAGTGATAACCTTGGATGGTCACAGTTAAGCCTCTGTATCATCATAGGGGAACTCAAGCACATACCATGGTGGGATCTCTTGCTGCTTAGGACATGGGCATACTCACGATGAAGTCCAAGGCATTCAGTGCGTTGGTGGCATCAAAGAGTAGCTCAATAAGTGGGTTTTCACCAAGATGAACTCTTAACACCAATCAGGTCTCAACTCTTTAAGTCTTGGAATGTTAAAGACAGTCCGCAAAGTGTACTCAATTATATATAATTTTCCACAGGACTCTAATTTGAATCAAAACACTTAGTAAATCCTCCATTGATGTAATGCTGAGGGTGTTCTTCAGAAAATATAACAAATAATATGTATGAAAGTCAATCTTTTAATTTAAGGAAATGCTTACATGTTATGTTGTCAGTGGTATTGGTATACCATTCTTAATAAATTATTATTCATTTAAAGTGTTAATTAACATTTAGAACTGGGAGTGTCAAAAGTGCAGCACTGTGCAGTTGTTGAAATATGCAAGTGGGTACTACTGGGGTCCAACAACCTCTAGTAGGAGCTTGAAGCTCTCGCTCTAATTTACTACCTTAACATTGTGCCAAAGATCTCTTAATAGCCAATGAAAAATATATTTAAGATAAAAAAGTAAATATGAATAGATGACAGGATTAAATATTGACATTGGTTCTGCAGAGGATTTTTATGATAACAAAATGCAATGCTTTGGTTTGCTAGTTGCTTATTTCCAACATACATGTCCTTTTCTTCTTTGGGATCTTCCAACATCTAAGAGCTTAGGTGCCAGTGTAAACTTTTTTTGTATGATAAAAAAATAACCATAACAGAGATTTAGCAAAGTCTCGTCAAAACTTTTCTGTCATTTTCAGCAAATGCTTATTGAATCTGTCTGTTTTTTTTTTTTTTACACTTTGTTGTCCTTGTGATGCAACAGATTAATCAATCTTTCCACCTCTTAATTCAACAAAAAAAAGTATTTTGTTTCCCTTATATTATTTTCCCACCGCTGTAAATCTGGAGGTGTTCTAAAATGTATATTTCTGCAAAACCTGGTGGAATTTACCATGACAAAAACTATCACATTTAAGAATACCTTTCAAACACTTTAATAAATTTGATCAAAATAATGACCTAATTTTAATGTCACTTTTCAGAATCCCATGATAAACATCCCTACTGCCTCCTCCAGCCTCACAAAAGCAAAACATAATGCTGTCATGGACATTAGAAAGAGAAAATTGAAGTAGAATATGAAAAAAAATTTCAGGGCTTAAAGGCTTTAAGAGCTGTGCCCACTAGGGATAAAATCAACTCAATGTATTATACTATAGGTCTTTTGCAATATTTAAATTTAAAGAGAAAAATAAAATAAAAAAGAATATATATTTAATTGTAATTATCATATTATACCATGTATGCATTGTTAAATCTACATACAGTTTGAACTATAAAAAAACAGAACTCTAAATACAGATTGTTTTTCAAATCTAGGTATTTCAGAATTTTTATGATGCCTGTAGGTGCCAAAATTAATTTCCAGAAGTATATATCATTTACTCTTAGATAAAGTTGAAATTAATACAGCTTTGCTTAATTCAGGTACATGTAGCAATGATTACAATATCAATGCAGGTGTATGAAACAGCACAGCCAGATACTTCTGGGAAAAAACTCCTCTGTTGTCATGACTACACAATAATTCATGGAGCAGCGCTGTAGCAGTCGAACTACCTATTGGTGAATGACATTACCACCTAAAGTCACCATAAAAGTCTAAAAATGTTTCATATTTAATAAAAAAAATAATAATTGGGATATGTTTCCAAAAGGCATGCAAACTGGTTTCAATGGAATTTTGTATGTCTCTAGAAAATATATGTAAGGACAGTAATGCAATAATGTTATCTGGTTTGCCAAATCTGTTGTCAATGTCCTCAAGTACCCCCCAACATTCCTGTTTATCTGCCTGTCCTCACATGCACAGCTGGAAAAGTAAATATCTCAATCTTTTGACTTACAGCTGTTAATGAAAGTCAGCTCGGAGAATTGCAGAAAACCTTCCCTGTTTCTGTGTCCTGAGGGCAGATATTGAAAAGCTTTTGTTAGGTAACAAATCAGTTATTTGGTTGCAATTCAGAATGTAGATATTCAAATTATTACAAATACTTTATGACAGACCCAAGTCTTAAATTTTAAAGAAAGTAGTAAAAATCCCAGGAACTGGTTAGTCAATAATACAGGTCCCATTCCTGAAATTAAAATTCATAAAAAAAGAAAAAATTATTTTAAAAAAATGACAAAAAAAGTTAGTGCTCTAAACAATATATGTATATGATGATCCCTCCGATAAATAATAAGAAGAAAATAGGCTTAAAAAACCAACACACTTTTTATCCTTTATTTCCGTGTTTTTCCTCGTAATATCTCAACAGATGAATTACTTTCGTAAATCAAAGATTTTGAGGGATAAACTTGTGTTGTGTTTGCAATTGTTTCATATCCATGAAAGCAGAGTATATTTGTGTATGCTTTGAACAAAAGATCAAAAGGTTAAACAATAAATATATTTTTTACAGTCTTTTTTTATATTTAAGAAGGGTGCCATATTAGTGGAGGGCACTGTATGTAGCTATTTGGGGTAACTCACAGCCCTATTAAGATGGAGGACTTGGTGCTTCTTAAAGGGACACTATAGGCACCCAGACCACTTTATCTCATTGAAGTGGTCTGAGTGTAGTGTCCCTGTGCTACTCAGTTCTGCAATGTAAAACATTGACGTTTTAGATAACTGCAATTACATTACATTGCAGTACTAAGTCTACTAATGGCAGTTTCCTGGAGTTTCACAGAGATTGACTGGGGGGAAGGGGAGAGCTGTGGAGCTAAGGAGCCTGGGGAACAGCCTAACATTAAAGTGTTCCTTAAGGCTTTTCCAGTTTGGCCAACTGGAATCCATATTAAATATTTTACTTCACGATGTTGAAGTTGAGTAGTCTGAAACGTGAAACAACTAATTATTCAACTTTTTATGAGTGGAAACTCAATAGCTATTTTTAGTTTAGTTTATAGGCAAAAGACATTACCCTGAAAATGCTTTGTGATAAGAGACAAAGGACAAATGGGAAAATTGTGTATAAAAATGTAAGAGAAAGGGTAGGTTACTACAGTGCGTAGCAAAAATTCCAACCATTGTGGCCATGAAGATATGCTAAACAACAGTATTTGTAGCTTCAGTATCTTCTTCATATGGCTGTAAGGAGAACTGGGGATTGGATAATGGCCAAAAGCCTGGAACAGATCATATATCTCTCACTAGCAAAAGAACCTCAGTTCAGATAACAATAATGCTAGATAGTAGGCATTAACTATGATGGATGTCAGTGTTTGTTTTGAAGGCATGTTAAGGTTATGATCAGAAGAAGCTTGGTGAAGAATGAAATAGGAAGGCAAAGGATGTGAGTTTAATTGAACAGTTTTAGATGGTATGTGGAGCCATTGTTTTAAATGACCTTGTCTGATAACATAAAGGTGGAGAATTAGAGTTTTCAGATTGTCAGGTGTGTAATAAACCGTACCATTAATGGATTTAAATTTGAAGCAGCCCTGCATTCTGGACAAATGTTCAGCAATTCTGTGTATATGAACACTTCAGTGATTTGAAGTGGTCATGGTGCTTAGAGCCTGTATGTGTAACATTTCACTTAAAACGCTACACGTACAGAAATTAACTTGTTTGAAGGTGGAATTCATCATAGCGTCACTTTCTTGTCACAGAATGGCAGTCATTGGCAGAGAACAGTCAGCCCATGGTATTCCTGGAATCGTAACCAGTACAGCGGGCTGTAGTGGGAATGATACTTGAAATAACCCTTCAAATATCTTAAAATTGTCATGCTGGGGATTTACCAAAAGTGGCTTACAGCATCTCAACAGTAATAGGTGTCATAATCTGATAATATGCATTGCTAGCTTCCTCTCAGAAAGCTATTTGTATATTCTTGCCCGGCATTTAATTCCACTAATGCCCTGTTTCCACCTGCATCGTGTTTTATACACAACAAAACATTGACATTACAAATTCAGATTTGGTTTGTATCTGATGCAAATCCAAATGAAATGCTTTTAGTTAGTTTATCTCTCAATGGTGACACTATCTTTTCCACTCGGGATACAATTTTAGCTTACCTGCACCTTTAACTACTTATAGTACTTGGTTGTGGAATCATTCTATACAAGGCTATTGTCATGGGTTTGCGATTCAAAAAAGCTGATGTTCACATAATAATACAGTTAATAAAAGTGAGTATCTTTTCAGTGGAAAGCATTAGGAATAAAATTATGAAATGTTTAGTAGGTATAGAAGAGCCAGTGCTTTTTAGTCAAAATTACAAAGGTTATTTTATTAATGTATTAGTGTAGTGGGGGTATTACAGACTAGGATACAATTTTCAGCCAATAATTGTCACCTATGTTTAGAATAGTCATTTCTGCCAAGCCAGTCTGATCATTTTACACCACGGGCTTAATGTTAGTCACTATCTATAAATCTATACTATTTTAGGATGCCCTATCTAATACATAGCCAAACACTTTTAAACTGGAGTTATGTGGATTTAGCAACCCATACAGCGGGAAACACTCTTGATCTTGCCTTCACCAACCTCTGTACTGCCTCTAATCTCTCCAATATTCCTTTTCCTCTATCTGACCACCATCTACTGACTTTTGACATTGGCATACCTAAGACCTAATTGACACCACCATCTGAGCATCACTCTCACAGAAACCTCCAATGTCTTGACCTAGAGCATTTCTCCACTAATCTCCAAACTCTCCTTTTACTTATCTCAAACCTCACCTGTCCTAGTTCTGCAACCTCCAATTCCACCCTCTTCTCTCAACTAGACATCATGGCACCTTGTACATTTAAACACCGCAGGCGCCCCCAACAACAACCCTGGCGCACCAAGCTCACTCGATATCTCCAAAAATGCTCTAGAACTACTGAACGCTGTTGGAGATTGTCTCACTGTGCATCTGACTTTCTCCACTATAAATTTATGCTCAGCTCATACAGTCTTTCCTCTGCAACAGTTAATTACTTCAATACCCTCATAACCACACTCTCCTGCGAACCCAAACGACTATTTCACACATTTAACTCTCTTCTTCGCCCTGCTGTTCCTCCTCCACCTACTTAATTGACCGCCTCAGACTTTGCAACTCACTTCACTGACAAGATCTCTACAATCAGAGAAGAGATCTCTCATCTTTCTTCTTCCCCTTACAATACTTCCCCTAACTTCACTCCCTCTGCTGTTCTATGTTAATTCGCACCCGCTACATTGGATGAGGTTTCTGCTCTGCTCCATTCCTCCCGCCCCACCACCTGCTCCCTAGATCCAAGTCCCTCGCATCTCATTCGTACTCTGTCTTCTTCTCTTTCTCCACCTCTCACTAAAATTCTCAATCTCTCTCTCTCCTCTGATATATTTCCATCGCCCTTCAAACATGCAACTGTAACCCCAATTCTAAAGAAGCCAAATCTTGACCCTAACTCTCCATCCAACTATCGTCCTATCTCGCTACTGCTACTGCACCCAAGATCCTTGAAAGAATTGTGTATGCGAGATTGACAGACTTCCTCGAGTCCAACTCTCTGCTAGACCCGCTTCAGTCTGGTTTCCGCCCAAAGCACTCTGTGGAAACGGCACTGTCCAAAGTATCCAATGATCTACTCGTTTCAAAATCTCGTGGTCACTACTCTGTCCTAATTCTCCTTGACCTGTCTGCGGCTTGTGATCCTTGTTTGCAGATAGCACGGTCCTCTAGGGTAAACAACAGGCACAATCCTTTTATTTTCATATAATCCAGGCATTTTATTTGTAAGTCCATACAGGAGACAGCAACAAATGAAAACATAAATATAACACAAATCCCTATAAACAAAAACCTAGCTCGTCTGAGCACTTACTAACATCAGGTTCCCTATCTCTATATACTCAGGGGGTTTGCCAGGGAGGCTGTCTAGAGCAACCTCCTCCTGCATGAATTCAGCCTTTGATCCCAGCTCCATCCCATCATGCTCGGCCTGGCCTGGTATGGAGCGCTGTTCTTCTGCCGGAGGCCCAGACTCCCGGCTTAGCTCATCTTTCCTTTGCCTGGTTTCCTTCCCAGGGGTATCCTCTGCTTGCTCGGCCTTGAGTGGCCATCTCTCAATGTCAGCAATGCTTACCTCTGGGCTGTCTGGCGGTCTCTCTGCTCCCTCGGGGGTGTCCAGAGACGCAGTCATGGCCTCTCGCTGGGTCATGACAGCCCCGGCATCAAACAGCCGGTCAGGCAGTCCGAGTCCTGCCTTTAATTCCATTACTGTGTTCCCAGAATCTGGCAGCTGTTCCAGGTAGTACCTGCGCCCAGGCATTGTAGATGTAGTCTTTGCCAGCAGATCCAGTTCTACAGCTCCCGGACAATCCTTCAAAGTCTTTGTAGCAATACCAGATGTCTCTGAAATATTTATTTCTGTTACGCCAATGTCACCTACTTTGTCACTTTCGCCTTGGTCAGGCTTAGGTGCGGACGTGCCCATCTTATCACCACAGCTTGGTTCTGTAACTCTCGCTCTCTCTTGGCTTAGATCAGAAGCGGCTACTTTGCCTTTCTTATTTTGACTTCATTTTGCCGCTACTTCTCTGCCTTGTTTTTCTCTGCCAAACTGTTCAACAGCTGGTTGACATTCTTGGGTAGCCTCTGCTACTAAACAGTGCACCGCATTGCTATACTCAGCTGGGGTGCTTTGCTTCTCTCTATTAAGCTCAGCTCCTTTGCTGTTGTCTTCTCTGACTCCCCAAGTCAGTCTGCTTTTTATGCCTTTGACTTGTTCACTTGGGTGAACATCAGTGGCTTCTGCTTCATGTTTCTTTCCCTGGCTGTATTCACTAGCTTTACTTTGGCGCATGTCATCAGTGTCACCATCACTGCCTCTTGACAATTCCGCTTTTTCCTTTAGTTTTGCTGGTCTCATTACTATCTTTTCTTCTTTTGCTATTTGGTCCCTGGAGGATCCAGCTGGCTTTTCACCCTCTTCCACCTTATCACTACTTTCAGGCTCAATTATTTCCTTCTTGCCTTCTAATTCCTGTTCTATCTCTTCTGCGTGTTTCTCAACATCACGCTTTGCTGACTCCATGCTTTTCAGCTTGCTAAAGACTTCTTCTACTGCCTCTGTCATCTTATGCAGGATGTCAGCAGCTTGGTTACGGGGTCCCTTGTCCCCATGCCCCCTGCAGGGGGCAATCTGCAAAACCTCAGTAAGGGCAGCTCTATGCTCTTGCTGAGTTTCCATCAGGCTCTTAACCTGTGCAGCCAGGAAATGGTTGGTGTCTTGTTGTACAGCAGTTGCCAGTACCAGAGCCTTCAGCAGGTCCTCCATTATAGCACCAATCAGGTAACCGTCTTAAAGGTACAGTGCTACTTATTTGCTTAACATGTCTGCAAAAGTAAGAGTCCTCTATAAGCAGACTACCGGATGACTGGCACACCCACTGTGCCCACATTCTCCACCATATTGTGATCCTTGTTTGCAGATAGCACGGTCCTCTAGGGTAAACAACAGGCACAATCCTTTTATTTTCATATAATCCAGGCACTTTATTTGTAAGTCAACACAGGAGACAGCAGCAAATGAAAACATAAATATAACACAAATCCCTATAAACAAAAACCTAGCTCGTCTGAGCACTTACTAACATCAGGTTCCCTATCTCTCAGGGGTTAAACTAGAACAAAACAATATTGGTTTCACCAACCTAGTGTCTTTGTCAGCTCTCTGCACTCCAGTGCTTAGTCAGCCTGTTGCTTTCCTTTCTACACTCCCACTGCTCCAAGCCAGCCTTAACTGCTTTCCTTTCTGCACTCCCAGTGCTCCAAGCCAGCCTTAACTGCTTTCCTTTCTGCACTCCCAGTACTCCAAGCCAGCCTTGACTGCTTCCTTCTGCGCTCCCAGTGCCCAGTCTCCTTGACTCTCTCATTGGAGAGAACAGCCTCTCTCCTACCTGCTTCCAGGGAGGAAGCCAGCAATCTGGACAAATGTTCAGTAATTCTGTCTAGCAGGGAGGGGTATATTCCCACTGCTACAGCTGATTATCTGCAGCTGAGCAGTGGGTTGGAGACAGTTCCAAAAAACTCTGTCCTGGACCTTATTTCTCCCAGTTGTGTATAAACTGAGCAGTGGAGCATTGGCCCACCCTGCTCTCCAAATGCTCCACCCCAGGGGCCCATAACTAAACGTAGCTTTATGTTGCACACCACACATACAACACGTACTTCCCCTGGGGTTAAATGTTAAAGGCCTCTCTGCCTTCACTTTATCACAAGCTTTTGACACTGTTGATCATCAACAGCTTCTTCTCATCCTTCGCAATATCGGCCTACAAGATATTGCTCTCTCCCAGCGCTCTTTCAGTGTTTCTTTCTCTGGCTCTGCTTCTTCTCCCCAACTCCTCTCTGTTGGTGTCCCCCAAGGTTCAGTCCTTGGTCCCCTACTGTTCTCCATCTATACTGCCTCCCTTGGTAAACTCATTAGCTCTTTTGGCTTCCAATATCATTTCTATGCAGATGACACGCAAATCTACCTGTCCTCTCCTGATCTCTCCCCGTCCCTCTTGACTAGTGTCTCTGACTGCCTCTATGCTATTTCTAACTGGATGGCTGCCCACTTCCTTAAACTAAACTTGACCAAAACTGAAATTCTGGTCTTTCCTCCCTCGAGTGTTGTTACTCCTGTGTCTGTCTCCCTCCAAGTCAACGGTGCTACTATCAGCTCCACAATGCAGGCTCGCTGCCTAGGTGTTCTCTTTGACTCCGACCTCTCCTTCAAGCCTCATGTTCAATCTATCGCCAAATCCTGTCATTTCCATCTCAAAAACATTGCGCGCATCTGCCCCTAATTAACGCCAGATGCGACTATGGTGTTGGTCCATTCCACTATCCTTTCTCGCCTTGACTACTGTAATCCGCTTCTCAGTGGTCTTACGTGCTCCCAACTTGCGCTGTTACAGTCCATAATGAATTGGCTTCCTATAACATATAGAGCTCAATTTAAAATTCTGGTTCTTGCTTTCAAATCTCTACATAATGCTGCTCCCACCTATCTATCCTCCCTTATACACAAGTATGTCCCGTCTAGGCCCTTACGATCTGCTGAAGACTTACGTCTATCTTCTGTCCGTACTCCCACCTCTGATGCTCGCCTTCAAGATTTCTCGAGGGCTGCACCGTTCCTGTGGAACTTGCTTCCCTCCTCCGTTAGATGCTCACCCAGTCTCCACTCCTTCAAAAAATCGTTAAAAACCCACTTCTTCATAAAAGCGTATCAATTAAACTGTTAATAGCTTCTGACTGATTCCTCTTCTGCAACTGTCACTAGTCTAATACTATCCTTACCTTTTTGTGTCATTTTACCCCACTCCCTCTAGCATGTAAGCTCATTGAGCAGGGCCCTCAACCCCTCTGTTCCTGTGTGTCCAACTTATCTGGTTACAACTACGTCTGTTCGTCCACCCATTGTAAAGCGCTGCGGAATTTGATGGCGCTATATAAATATCATAATAATAATAATGTAGATGTTATCTAGAAGTAGGTGGAAGGGAGTATAGAGGCGTTTGGACAAACGGCATATAATCACTACATTGAATATTGGTTAATTAATAACAAATTATGATATGTTACCCAAAATAATATTTTAAAAAACAACAGCATTTTTGGCCTAAATGTCACTCAACTCACAACAATTTACTAGTTAGCAATTGGACAACAACATTTAATTATTTCATTGGTCAGTTTTATTTTACTTTTCATTTAAAAAATGTTTTAAATCTACTGACCTACACTTCCTTAGTCATACCAATTCATACCAGCAATGTGTGGCTGTGTTAGGCTTTATGCAGTCAGCTGACACTCTCAGCTAATCACCGCCTCCCATTGTTGCACATGCAAATTTTTCCTTATAAATTTGAACATCAGAGAAGGGAGAGGCTGCTGGGGACTCTCATTTAGAATTAAACTATTACAAGCAGTTAAAACTGAATGGAAGGACAACACATGTGGACTACAAACACTACAACCACTTGTTGAGATGTAGCAGTTACAGTGCCTTCAGTGTCCCTTTAAGTAACAACTGTAATCCAAACAAGTGAAGTCACCTTGTGACATTATCAAACGCCACCCTCACCGGAGCCAAACCAACTCACCTCTAATAAAAGGTACATTCCTCAAAGTAAACCTTGGGAGAGGGTTGAGACTAACTACAAACTGGCCATAACCCTTGTGCTAGTTGGCTGTTGCCTACCCTTTGTTGATAGGCTTGGCTTTGCCACCCAGCTGTTTTTACATCTTTTCTAGTTGACTCACTGTCTCACGTAGCTACATTTTTGTTGCTATCAAGCCTGCAGAAACACAATGAAGTCCTGTGATATAATGTGGGGGAGGGTGCAGGACAGGAAATATGCAGAAAAATGCAAATAGAATATATATTGATATTTAAATAAAGTTAATTATATAAACATTTTAAATATATTTAGCTTTTCTGGTAACATTTTCATATGACCAATCATATATAAAATATAGAGCTGCTCAGACATCCCAACATGCAAAACTCATTTTAGGGAGGTGGCTTCACCAGCTACCCTGCCCCGCCCCCACACACACACACACAGCCACCAAACATGTATGATCAATCATGTATGAACACCTCAACACACAGATAGACACACTAACACATAAACACTAAGGTACACACTGACACACACTCAGATACACACACTGATATACAGATACACACTGGCACACACACACTCAGATACACACTGACACACAGATACACACACTGACACACACACTTTTTAGATACACACACTGGCACATACACACCGATACTCACTTAGATAAATGCTGACTTACAGTTACACACACTGACACACACATTAAGATACACACACTGGCACATACACTCAGATACACACACTGACATACAGATACACAATGGCTCATACAGATACACACTCAGATACACACTGACAAAGAGATACATACACTGACATACACAATGATTAAAATGGATACACACATAACAAATGGATACACACAACACTGACACACACACTGGCACATACACACATACTGACATACACACACTAACATACACATAGATACACACAGATACACACACTGGCATACACACTGATACAAATGGATACATACAGACATAAACACATACATTTCATACTTCATATATTTGCAGCTAGGAGGGTGGCTTGTTTGGGGTCCTGGTGCTGGCTGATGCTGAAGACAGTAAGCATGCAGCAGCTCACTGTAGCCTCTCCTCTGCCTCTGCCTGTGATGCCGCCGCTGCCTTTAGCCTCCTCCTCCCTTTCTCCCTCCTTTGCGGTGCTCTGTGAAGCTGGGAGGAAGTGACAGGCTGTCACTTCCTCCCTTCCAGATGATACTACAGGGGCCTGGTTGTGCTCTTAAAGCGAGTATTATCGGGGGCTGAAAATTATACAATATCCTGGATATCACACACACACAATCTGACATACATTGTATTTACATTGTGTGTGTGATTTCCAGGATGTTGTATATGATTTTCGGGTGTCAGGTAGCCGGAACTCCCGGAACGTCCAGTTGAATTGGGATGTCTGGCTATATCTTTCATTTATGTATGTTGTGCAATGGATATTATTTTGAGGATTAACTTAGATTTAATAACTGTTGTGGTAGAACACAAATTCACTAATTTGACAGGCATGTGGACAGGATGATATCATTATAATTTCTTCAGTGAGGTATTAGAGTTGGTTTTTGAATGAATATACTTTAAAAAAAAGATAATTATGTGAGGCCATCTTTATAATGCGCTCTCTGATCTGAGTTTAAATGAATGCAAAAATATCTAAAAAATATTGGTGTTAAATCAGTGTTAAGATGGTCATGCGTAGTAGATTGCATTGTCTGGCTCAGGAGGACAGAGATGTTATGTTCAGGTAAACTCAGTTGATGGAGTATATCAACTTTGTGACGTATGTTGCGGGTTTTAGAGGTGACAGCAGAAGATGCTGAGGCATGCCACTGATGCAATTTGTGTCACTGGTAATGTGCCTATCCATAAAGGTGGATTGGATGACAGGCAGACCTGCATGGTGACAAGGCAGCTCATACACATAGCGCTACTTACAAGTGGCATGTACAGGCTGAAATTCCCAGTAAAACAGCACTGTGTAGTGTAAGTGCTACTTCTGGAGACCCCAGAAGAAACACCCAGGATGGGTGTATCTTACATTCAGGACTTTCCACGTAATCTGAACTTTGGCAAGTATGCATTTCTTAAAGAATGATTAATCTGTGTTTTGATCCAATGCAATTAAATTAGACCCAATAATGTTTACTAATTAAATGTTACTGGGTATATTTACTTAACAGTGTATTATGTTGAATTGAAACGCATCTTGCAACATTAAAGGAACACTATAGTGTCAGGAATGCAAACCTCCTTGGATGAGATCATCAAATTTGAATCCCATAGGAAAGCATCAGGAGGCTATTGTCTATGCCAGCGGTTTCAAAACTGTGAGCCGCAGTGCCCTGGGGCACACAGGGGCGCCGCAGAATGTTTCCCCTGTGCTATGATTAGAGCACCAGGAAACATAACTGCTGAACAGTCCTTTAAGACCGCGACTGGGTCCCTGTATTGTCTGCCGACTGGGAGGAAGTGACAACCTGTCACTTCCTCCCAGCATCATGCATGGAGACATCACTAGAGGGAGAAAAGGTAGCCGCAGCATGAGGGGAAAGGTGCACTCCAGGAGCTGCTCTAGACCCCTCACTCAAACCAGCCAGCAGGACTCGAAGCCACCCTCCTGGACACATAAGGTAAGATAACAGGAGGGTTGCTGGATATATAAAATAGTATCATGTGTGTGTGTATTTGTGTGTGTGTGTGTGTGTATATATCTCTGCATAAATATCTGTGTAAGTATATATGTATGTGGTAGTGTATGTGCATACATCCAAGCAAACACCAGCACAACATATATGCACACTCCTGCAATCTAACACAAATATTACATACAAAGCTACCTGGGCATTCAAACTCCAAAATAATATACAAACACACCCCTTCACTCAAACACAAATACTTCACACAAATGTACATCCACATGTAAAAATGAACAATACATTCAGACACACCCCTGCAGTCAAACATACAAACACACCCATGTATTAAAACACTAAAACAATATACAAGCACTCCTTCAAACACCAACACTGTACATTACTCTATAGCGCCAGTATAGTATAGATATACAACCTAAAAATTTTGACTTGGGGTGCCTTTGAAAAATATTGAAATATTAAGGGCGCTTTGAACCTAAAAAGTTTGGGAACCACTGGTCTGTGCACTGCAAAACGCTGCACTGCACCAGTCAATGTATCCTATTGAGTGAATGCATCTCTATGGGGAGCATTCAGCATTCTTCCACTGTGCATCACTGACCCAGTAAGCACCTCTAGTGGCTGTCTGAGTGACTGTGATTAGAAGTGTTACTATGCAGCAATGTTCTCTGAAAAGGCAATGTTTACATTAAAAAGCCTGCAGGGACAGGCTAGAGATAACAGAACTACATTAAGCTGTAGTTGTTCTGGTGACTATAGTGTCATATTAAAGATACAACAGCAGAATTGCATGTGAAATAGAACAAAATAAAACATTTCTATGAACCCCCTTTCCTTTTAAATGAAGAATGATCATCTTCCAGATTACTGAACAGACTCCCTGAGAGCACAAGATGTCTAAAAGTGGTTTCAGACCCGATTTAAAGGGCACGCCTGGCTGCGTAGTTATGTGTTTGCCTCTCTCCTATTCCAAACTTATTTAGACTACCTAAAAATATACAGCACACACTAAAGGTCAGGTTTGCATTAACAAGTTGACTCCCAGGAATCAAAGGCCATAATTAGTTAATTCCAGTGTCATCCCATGTCATGTATGTATGTAACGCTACTGAAGACATTTCTGGAGAGCTACTTCTTCTGGTATTTTTGCCTGACCTTACTGCAGTCACATGCTTCTCAGAGACCAACAATACTTCTTTAAGAGTTGCACAAAATAAGTAAATTTTCAGTAAGAAGCCTATGGAATAAAAAAATGTAAATAATAGTAATCACATTTAATGTTTTGTTAATACTACAATCACAGTATATATTATAGCAAAATATAATATTTTGACAAATTTTAAAGACACTGTACTGAACATGTAAAACAATAGTGAAACATATAACATGCTAACAAGCAGGCATGATGTAAAAAATAGGTAATTTAATATAGTCTGTCACAACAAATCTGTCTATAAAAAGTTTGGTTATTTTTTTTTCAGCTTGAATAAATGTAATATATTTCATATCATTCAATGGAGTGTTACCCTCCATTGAACCCAAGCAGGTTGTTACAGATGGCAAAAGTTATATAATAATAAAGAGAGTGCTGTCACAGTCTCATTACCTATAACTTCCTCCGATACGCAATGTGGTAAGAGTTAAATCAAACTTAATCAATATGCTTGCTTACCCACTCCTCACCCCATCGTTACCTGTGGTGGATGGATTTATTTAAATTATGTGGGGACCCTTAGACTTTCTCAAATGCATTTCCCTGATGTATGGAAGTTCAGGGGTTAACTTAACATAGTTAGTGGCTTTATAGTTGCCTACTTGCTATTTTTTTTTATATGGTTTATTTTAAATGCTCGGGTTAGGGATTCGTCAATCCCCTGGCAATTACATGTAAACATACACCCTAGTTAATTCCAGAGGTTAAGGGGATTTTTAAAAAAAAAAAAAGAAGAGAACACATTGTAAAACAATAAATATTCCACTCAGAAAGCGAGATTTCATAATTAATTTCCCATTTTACCCCTAATCCTCCACAGAAAGCTGGGCACAATAATGAGATGCCATAACTATCCCACACAGCCTGGGGCACTATGATGGGTTACACAGAGCTGCAATACAGAGGTCCCCACACAGTACATGTGTCTGTAAAATGCTTTAGCTATCTCTCTTCTCTCTATTTATTTTGCTAGCCCCATCTTAGCTCTCTCTTACATGATCTCATCTTCAGAAGTGCTCCTGCTATGATAAATTTAGCTTTCTATTAAATATTGTTGCTGTTATGAAACATGTCACCTACTCCATTAGCTCTTAGCACACAGTGTGCACATGGTTAAAGCAGCAGGGCACTGATCGACTTCATATTACCTGCAGTGGTAATATAATTAATCTACAGTGGTAAAATGGAGTCAAGAAGTAGCTGACATGGTTAACAGAATCAACAATCATTACAGGTTAAAACATATTGAAATCGGAATCAGACCAGTCCTCAGAGTCACAGCCCCAGTCCTACAATTTGAAGCTTCACAACTTTTCAACGAATCACAGCATGAATGTCTCAGGTCTCAGATGTAGAGTAACTGTGCAGTAGGAGTTATTAAAAATATTAGTGACAGGCAGCACTGTACTCTGTGTCAGTAATGTTCCCCTCCCCTTGCCACATCTGTGCTTCTCTGGCTGTACATGTATATATATAATAATTATATATTGGAGTAAATTCCTTTCCTTGATGTAGTCATTAGGGCTAATGGGGGGGAGAAAAAGATATTATACATTATATTACATTTGGCAGGGAACAGGAGCTGCTGCTGCTGTTGTTGTGCTCTCTTCATGCTTCTTTCAATATGGCGTCTTGATTCTCTCTTCTGTGGGCACTGTAACCCCACCCACTGGCAATATCAGCCAATAATGGTCCCTGGAGAGAAATGCCTCCACTCATGGGCAGCTGCTCTGTTACCTGAATGGCAACTCAATAGGAATTCCTGAAATTACTTCTTAAATGAGACTAGCCATGTGCCAAATATGCCAAAAAGGGACAGATATAAAACTAGACCCATTTTTAAAACATGCCTAGATGCTCTGAAGTAAGCTTTTCCAAACAGCTACAAATGAGGAGGGAGGGGCCCTGTAAAACTGAAACCTATTACAAAATTAAGGAGACATTAATGGTTTCCCATATTTTTTTGGCTCATCTCCCTCCCATCCCAAAAAAACGAATGCGAGTGTTTCTAAACTACTGCAAATAAATGTTTTCCCCCACATTAAAACAGGTATGCCTCTATGGAAGAGCCTTCATCGATAATATTATTTGCAAATAATATTGTCTAGAAATGTGTTATACCTTTTCACAAGAAGAATAGAATAAATATGGATGCTAAATACATATGAAAGAAAAGTGGGTGCATAGTGAATTCATATTTTTAAAAAGAAGGGTCGCTGTCTGGTAGATACGTGTTAGAAAAGTAGGAGATCTAAATTCAGCCTTCCAGAAGTGTAATAGAAGCTGGTTTCAGTTTCTAGTAAACTTGACAAAGAGGCTGCATGTTCTAATAGACAGGTCTGGGAACATTTATGTGACAGGGACGTGGAGATCTCTCCTAGCTCTCCCTTAATGATGTTGTCTTAAAGGCCATTGACATGCCTCTTACTGCAGAGTGTTTCTAAATGTAAGTTGTATAAACCATTAATTGGAACATGGTATCAACGATATTGAACATGTGACACTGAAGTGTAAGGGATCAGCAATACTTTAATGTTAACTGAGGTAAAATGTTTTATTTATGGATAGTGCTTACATACTAAATGACGACATGTTAGTAACAATTGGCCTGCATTTTATACCTTGATTTTTTAAATCATCTTTTGATCCTTGATCCTTTCATCTTTTGTTAGAAGACTTCATGACATCTTCCCCCTAAGCAATAACCTGATGTTTGCTGCTTGTGGGTCTTTTCCAGGGAACTCGTACGTGTAACTATTTGAGTGCTGGCATCTAAACCCACCATTGTACATGCAATGTGTACAAATTTGTAGACCATTATGTCGCTTGCACAAAAGTAGGTGATACCACAAGTGACATAATCACCCAAATTCACGTAGGAGTTCCCATATGTGCTTGCATGTAGCAGCACAAAAATGGATGAAATAAACATTTTAAAATGGTATACAGTGTTCTATAATGTCATGTAAGCAGCATCTATCTATACCTCAGACACAGATAAACACAAACAGTGTTCATTGAATACAAATTTGTTTGTTTATCATATACAGCAGTGGTTTTCAAGCCAGTCCTCATGGATCAGCAACAGTCCAGTATTGATTTATTTCCCTTTTCGTTTCCAATGGAGATAGTGACAAATCATGGACTGTAGCTGCATCACGAGTACTAGTTTGGGTACCAGTGATATGGAGTCTTGCAGGATGGCAAAATTGTATTGCATTTGTTTGTTAATTACCCATTTTTTTGATTTGATAATGGATGATTTCACACTGTAAGAACAGAGCTACTTTTCAAATCAAGACCACTGGCTGAAATAAAACAATGGCAACACATCTGTTGTAAATGTAATGTTTCCAAGATAAATACAAATAAATTTACATTTTAGGTCATTTTTACATGTGTACTATGTGCCTTCCTATATTATTGAACTCTAGTTAAAGTATTGCTGTCTCCTTAAAAGTGCACCAGTATCTCTGTGTCTTATTTAATCATTTACATGTATTGTACAACTAGTCCATTGCCTTTCAGTAAAGTGGGAATCCCAGTGCTTACCTCATTATTTATATATTAAATTCCATAAACAAAATGGTGCCATTTCGTAATATTCTTACCAAGAAATATACCTCATTCTGGATTAGTACTGATTTATAACTGAGATTGTAAATTTGTAGCAAAACAGAAATATCCAATTATTTGTTTCTAAAATGTAATGGCTTTTATTTTTATACAAATGTGCTGTGCACAACTGTTCCATGTATTCGTAAAATAAACTTTTCTTTTTTTTTTAAATAAATTTTGGTTTTGTTTATTCCTTTTACTTCACTGTCCTCTTAATAATAAACTGTAAAACTATATATATATCAAAATGTCCACAATATGTCTGTCTGTCTCTATCTCTATCTGACTGTCTGTCTATCCCCATGAACAGACAGTTTCATAACACAAAGTGAGTGTAATAGAAATACTGCCTTGATTGGTATTTTCAGTTACATTGTATGGCTCCCTCGTGTGGTCACTTATTTTCTCTCATCACAAGTGGAACTACGACTAAACCAGAATTAGAGGGGCAGACGCCAGAACAAAACAGAAAAGGTGTAGAAACATTGTTTGTTATTGATAATTCTTGAACTGTAGGCTTAACTTCTACTTCTGAAATTCTCTTTGAATACCTGGGAACTCTCATTTCAGTGAATAACACTTCTGACTTGCTGGGTTGATGCAGTGCTTTTATTACGAACCCAAGAGTCTATTAGGTGAGCTGAAGAATAATGCATTGATCTGGTTTTTACACTTTGCCACATGCTGTGGTAGATCTAAAAGCAAGCATACTATTCATGGAGATAATCACCCAGAACATGCTGCAGAGGCAGGGGCGGACTGAGAACCCTCAGGGCCCCCGAGCAAAATAAATCAAGGGCCCCCTTACAGGCCCCACCCATACTCTGCAGCAAGCGCCACCCTTGTCCCGCCTCCAGCCACACCCTACACAATCTTTAGACACAAGGAACAAAAGGGCAATAAGTCCTTCGAGGCCCCAGCAGAGACTACAATTGAGGGCTAATGGGCCATGGAGGGGGGTCTTTCTAGCGGGGGCTATCTCAGTGTCCTTTAGAGAGTGTGTTAGAAAGAATCCCCTCCAGGCCCCATTAGAGACTACAATGGAGTCTAATGGGGCCTGGAGGGTGGTCTCTCCAACACTCTGGTTTCTATTCACAATATAGCAACACAACATAGCTCGCTGATACCTAGGCCAAGTTGGCTCTTCTTACCTTAATTACTGTTGCTGGCTGGCAGTCTGTGGGCTTGCTTGCTGCGGCTGGCAGGCTGTGGGCTTGCTGGCTACTGCCGGCAGGCTGTGGGCTTGCTGACTGCGGCTGGCAGGCTGTGGCTTGCTGGCTGCGACTGGCAGGCTGTGGGCTTGCTGGATGTAAGCCTGTGGCTTGCTGTAGGCCTGTGGGCTGGCTACTGGCCTGTGGGCTGGCTAACTTGCTGGCTACTGGCCAGCCTGTGGGTTGGCTGGCTGGCTACTGGGGCACTTGTAAATTATTTAAAGAAATAATCTATGCACAATAACCACTACTGCTCCAGAGTAAGTAGTCAAACCATTTAAGAACAGTTTGACAACTTACCTGGGATCTGCTGGGATATGGGGCTGTAGTAGGGAATAGGAGCAGTGGTGCAATGTGTGTGAAAGGTTCAGTGTGTGTGTGGGGGTGTAGTGTGTGAATGTGTAGGGTGTGTGGGCTGTGTATGTGTGTGGCAATGTTAGTATGGGGGGCTGTGTATGGGGGTCTGTGTGTATATGGGTGGGCAGTGTATGTGTGTGTGTGAGGCAATGTGTGTAAATGTGTATGGTGGCAGTGTGTGAATGTGTATGGTGTGTGTGTGGGCAGTGTGTTTATGGGGCTAGAGTTCACTCTCACCACTGCGACCACCAGGAATCCCTGGGGGTCACAGTGTTGAGAGTGAACACTAGACCGTAGCTCCAGGGCTAGAGCTGACTCTCGCAAGAGCGGTAACGTTGCCATGGTAATCGCGGCAACGCTCTGTGCTCGTGCAAGAAGGACCCAGAGGAGCTGCAGGGTGAGCTCCCAGGTCCTCTCTTCCTCCCTCCCCTGCCCGCATGGTGCCTGCGGACAGGGGAGGGGGGGGGGCAATTGCCCTGTTGCCCCCCTGGATCCACCAGTGATATCTACAGCCCTTCTGTGTGCCTTTTTGTCTCCCCCCGTCCCTCTGTATGTTTCTTCCTCCCCCCCTCCTTCCCAGTCTCTCTTACCCCTCTGCCTCTTTCTCCCTCTCTTCCACTGTTTTTCTCCCCCCTTTCCCTGTCTCTCTCTCCCCCACATCTCTCTTCCTCTCTGTCTCTTTCTCCCCCTCCCTATCCCCCCTCTTTCTCCCCGTGTCTCATTCTTCCCTCGTTGTCTCTTTCTCCCCCTCCCCATCTCTATATTCCCCCTCTTTCTCCCCCTGTGTCTCATTCTTCCCCCTCTGTCTCTTTCTCCCCCTCCCCATCTCTCTATTGCCCCCTCTTCCCCCCCTCCCCATCTCTCTGTTCCCCCCTCTTCCCCCCATCTCTCTATTGCCCCCTCTTCCGGGTTTATCCCCATCTCTCTTGCCCCTCGTATACCTCCCCATCTCTGTGAACATATCTCCTCCTGGCCCAGCCTCTTCCCCATTCTCTCTCTGTTCCCCTCTTCCCCCATCTCTCCTATTGCCCCTCTTCCCCCCATCTCTCTTGCCCCTCTTCCCCATCTCTCTTGCCCCCTCTTTTGTCTCTCTATTGCCCCTCTTCCCCCCATATCTCTCTTCCCCCTCTTCCCCCCATAGCTCTCTCTTCTTCCCCCCCATATTTTCTTGCCCTCTTCCCCCATCTCTCTCTTGCCCCTCTTCCCCCCATATCTCTTCCCCCCTCTTCCCCCCATATCTCTCTTGCCCCTTCTTCCCCCCCATATTTTCTTGCTTTCTCCACCCCCATATCTCTTGCCCCTCTTCCCATCTCTCTATTCCCCTCTTCCCCCATATCCTCCTCTTCAGTTCCCTCTTCCCCCCATATACTCTCTTGCCCCTTCTTCCCCCCATGTTTTTCTTGCCCCCTCCCCCCCCATATCTCTCTTGCCCCCTCTTACTCAAGTCAGAGGGGGCCGGCCGTTTCATGCTGGAGCCGCCGGACCGGGTGGCAGCCTTGCCGGTCCGGCGGCATTCCTCTCACTAACGATGAAGGAGGAGGAGGAGGGGCATCTGTCTATCATGCTCCTTTGCGGTTCCCACATCCTGTGCTGGGAATTGTGGGAACCGCAGGGAGCATGATGAACGGAGCTCTCCTTCATCGTCTACCCGGACAGCCCGATCATCTCCAACATCAACTGTTTCGACTCTGATGTGCCTGGACCGGCCACCCGGTGGCACCTTCCTCTGCCGCCCCCAATTCAGCCCTGCCGCCGGGCCCCCTGAAGGCGGCCCTGGCGGCGGGGCCCCCCTCCCGGCCGGGCCCTCGGACCGTGTCCGAAGTGCCCGACCGGTCAGTCCGCCCCTGTGCAGAGGTCAGTTTGCTTCTAATTGCCCCTGCTGCACACTTGGACCCAGTAAATGCTGTACTAAAATTTTCTTTGGTGAAGACAGTAAAACAGCACATGAAGTGTGAAACAGCATGAAGCCCACATCTCAGCGTCATCAGGGAGGATTGACCTGTTTGGTTAAGTGTCCCAATCAGGTGCGACTACAGTGTAGAGAGAACACGGCTGGAGGCAGTGCCACTGCAACCATAAGACGGCAGAGGCAGCCACGTTTGGGCCTGGAGGGCTCCCCTCACCGCCAGTCACTCTATATAGTGTGGCCATCCGGACCTCTGTAAAGGATCTTTTTTATCTGACAGAAGCTGCTTGTGAAAGACACACAAAAGGAGTTAAGGGGAGAGACACACAAAAGGGGCTTGAGGTAGACAACCACACAGAGGGGCTTGGACGGGGGAAAGAGACATTCAAAGGAGCTAGGAGAATGAGACACAAAAAGGGACTGGCGAAAAGTGGAAGAGAGACACTGAAGGGCTTGGTGGGGAAGAGACAAAAAGAGGGTGTGAGGGATAAAGAGACACAAAGAACCTGGTGCATTAATAGACAGGCAATGGGGCTGGGGGGAAGTAAGAGACACACAAAGGGGATGGAGGGAAGACAGAGACACACAAGGTGGTTGCAAGAGACACACAAAGGTGGTGTAGGACATACAAAATGGGGGTAAAATCCACTAAAGGGGGTGTAAGGCACAAAAGAGTGCAAAAGAACCACAATAGGGGGTTAAGATACACACAGGTGAAGATGCATTTGAGGGAGTGTCAAAATGCATCTTCACCTGTTTAGCCAAAACTCCTTTCACCAGCCCTTACTGGAGGGTGGGTGTTACAACAGTGTAACACCTATGGACCTCCAGAAATTGATGACAAGTGATATATTTGTTGCTTTGGGAGATGTTATACATGTAATTGAACCTGGCATTACACATACTTTTTTTATAATCGTGAGGAACACAAGAACCACCTTCCAACCAGACGTTAATTTTGTCAGTTAAAAATGTGAACTGATTACTGATGGGAGACTATCCTACACTCTGTGGTGATTATTTTCTTCTTTTCTGGAAAATATTCTAGTTCTGGAAGTATTTAAGAAAAGCAAACAATTAAATGTAGGTCATTTGGTGTTAAATGCATGGTAATATTGCAAGTGATTGCTCCAAACTTTCAAAATAACTCCAGTGCTGACTTGCTAAACATGACCCTATATCATGATGAAGACCTGTTTTGTATCCTGTGGGGACCTAGATTTGCTCACAATCATTTTTTGGAAGTACTTTGACAGAGGAAATGCAATCACATAATGGCACAAAGTTGTTCATTTTGATGATGAAAATAACATATTTCAACACGTAAATCCTATATTAATCTCAGAAGTCAAAATGATAGCACACAGGTTATATAAACAGAACACTGGAATTAATTAAAATACATCATATCACAATTGTTACAATTGATGCCAAGGGTAGAAGTCAATCACCTGAAACATTAACTATTTTCATGGAACAGCTTGCCAACTGAGTAGATTATTTGTCCAGGTGGGTACTTTGAACTAGTAAAACACTGATTTTCAGGAATAAATGGAAAAAAGTAAAGTGAGCCCAATACTTTTTTGCAAAAGGTACATGTTCACAAAGTGGTAAAGTTACTAACAAAAATTTTTTTTTCAAAATGTAGTACCTGAAATAGTGAA